CAAATATACAAAAAATACAAACACATTTAACCAAGATTGACTACCATGGGCATCATTAATGAAAAAGCAACTTCATTTAGTGATTAGATTACACTAATATTATGCATCTCTAAAAAGTTGACCTCATTAATATCATAAACACAATTTGACTGTCAGCTTTACCAATGTCGAAACTTACACTCAAACCCGCCAGTGGAGCTATAGCAATTACAACACCTCGTTGACTTCGGAAAGGATGTTTCTCTGCAAGAATCAGTTTGCCAGATATTCCTCTAGCCACAGGTATCAGGTAGATATCCCTGACCCCAGCATTAGAAAAAGCAATTCTGCATGGGAATCCAGATCCTACAAACAGAATAAAAGATCGACAAAGTCTTAATGAATATTGCATGACCATGGAGAACATTATGAATAGTCAAAATGAAAGATGTAGTAAAATGATACCCAACCTAGAAAAACCTCCGACCCAAAGCTTGCAGATGATAGATCTGAAGATTGGGATATTTCAGAATCTGTGGCAGGACCACTTGTCAATTCTAGAAAGGGGTTCTCAAGTAAATTTCCTTTGACAATAAACGTCTTCAGTTGAACATGGAGAGTGAAAACCTAAAAGAAAGTGCACCATAAGATCCACAGAGCACCAAAGTGTAATGCAGTATGAATGGTTTTTTTAGCATAAATATCAACTGCAAAGGGATGCTTCCAATATGTAATTTTGCATTCATGGGAAAGTAAAATTGATACTCATAAAGGCAGAGGCAGATGCTTGTAATGGTGAATAATTAATCAATCAAACAACAAAAGTTTGATAAAATGTAAAGAAAGTGTTGGCTGAATTGCACAACAGAGCCTTTATCCATTAATCTCTTATAGCTGTGAAAATAGATTATCATGACTTATGAGAGGAAAAGGCTTCATATGACGTGGTGAAAAGTAGCTGTTGTAGAACATCATTTTCACTTGATCATTGTTTCTCAGTTCCTCTCTCCGCAGCATGTAAGAAGCATTAGAGCTCATATATTTTTGTTGGGCTCTTCCTAACAAACTTAAGCTTTTGAGTTTATCATTTACTTTTACAACAGTATCAGAGTCAAGCTAACCAAGTGATCTTTTATTATAAAAATTATATCTTTGATTTGCTACTGGATTTGTGTTTATAAGTGTTTTCAACACACATGTATCACAAGGGAGAATCTTAGAGCCTAAATAGCATAGTTGAACCCTTAACAACTTAAGCATTTGGGTTAAAAAAGTTACTAACAAAAAGTATACATGAAGATCCATCAGCAATAAGGCCTTGCCTCTGGCATCTATCCAGTTCAATGCTGGAAACACCTTTAGCATTTCTTGCAACATTAATGTCATTGTTAAACAGAAGAAAACCATTATCTCTCTAAGAAGGCATCCAGTTAGAGATAGTAGATCATTTATATTAAAAAAAAAAAAAAAAAAATTCAGTAATAATGAATGATAAAAACCTTCACTGCATCAACCATCGTTTGCCAAGAAAATTTGGAAGAAGTTGTGCTGCCTGCAATGTGTAATAGTTATGAAGGAAAAAGTGTAAGACATTAATTTCTGTAGCATAGGAAGAAAAGAAGGATTAATCCAATTATGAATTTAAGAACCATTAATCAACACTAATGGCCAATACCATCAGTTGTTTGTTGGCAAAAAGCAAGCTCAAGCGCGAACAAGGGATTTTTGGATTGCAAAGGTTCCTCGAGAGCTGTACAAATCATTCAAATAGATTTGATGAATTCCATAAAGTGTCTGACTTAGCATATCTAGTAAATAATCATTTCCCTCCCATCAATTTATCATTTTATTCTCTGCACTTAAGAACACCACTATGGAGTCCTAATTTTTTCTTCCCATCCAAAGAAAAGATTCTCTACCTCATACCTGTTTTACAGTTTGCCCATTCATCCCTCAAAGTTTCCAGGATTTGATCAAACCAGCCTCCATCAAGTTCTTTCTGAAGACGTTCACATGACCGCTGATACGAAGTCTGTCAACAGGAACTAGAAAATATATAACTTAAGATTGATAGGTAAGAGCGGTTTAATCTCAAGGAAAATTTATTGCAAGACAAGTGGAAGTGTTCATGTGCTTTAAGCGCCAGAATAAATCCTAGAACTCAACAAAATAGCAGAATCTGTTCTGTAATGATTTCTACAGTTTGCAACATGAATGGAAAATATCATATTAACACAAAAAAAGAGGTATGAACAGTACACCTGAATTTGACTAATAAAAAACCCCAATGACTCGTGATACTTTGAATACAGAAAATCATAAACCATAAACAAAAATTAATTATACATTATAGACTGAAGAAATTTGTTTAATATATTTCGTTACGTTTCTTCTTAATAACTACAGAAGGGAAGTAGTAGAACATATGGACACTCCAAGAGCATGATTGACTGGAGCAAACCAGTGCTTCACACTTCAACTTCTGTTCATAATTTTATGAGATATTATATAAACTTTCTGTTTTTTGATAAATTTATTAATTCTAGCTATCTCCTCTTACAAGTCTGAAGCAACTTGGTGTAATGGCTGGCGGTTGCATGAGAAAACAAGAAAATCACGGAGGCACTCTATTGTTTCAGATAAGTGATCAAATGAAGAAAGGCCATTACCCAATACAGGTCTGGCCTAAAGGGTCCTGACTCCTGATAGGTTTGTTCTAGATAGAATCCTACCTTTAATATGTTGAACAAAGTGGCCACTCACCAGACAGAAATCAGACTCCAACACTTGTTGGTTTGAGGCTTTTAGCACTAAACACTATCTGGTATATGTATATCACTGACAAGATGCAAGTCAACAGTAGATGTTATTAATGTTCACAAGATGTTACGATGTTTACAGCGTCAAGTCAATAGCAAATGCATTTATATTAACTTCAGTATGTGCAATCAATCAGTTGAACCTCACATTGAAAAGCTGGAGATGGTGATCATTGAGTCTGTTTCCTTGAAAACTAAGTAGCTTCTGCAAGAACCACCCTGTATGCAATTGTATTAGTGCACAGGATGGTGCTTGGCTGGCTAAAACCTTCAATAATGCATTTAAAACCTGTTAAAAATAAATAAATGATGAGTGTTCATGACATTGTGGCCTGTAAAGAATCATGACATTAAAGCTCACAGCAGCAGTAAAGTTAGCGTCAGATAAACATATTCCGGTGACAGCTATACACATGACATATTAAGATGCGTTATTTCAAAATAAACAGCAATGATTGTCAGATAAAGGCCATACCTGAGGCATAAGTCTCATGAGGATATTGCTTTTTCCTACCAATGAAGCTGAAATATCATATTTCTGAGAAAGAATATATCAAAAGTATATCAGAAATTGCTCCATAAATTAGAAAGTATAGAAAACTATCACAAACTTACAAATGAAATTATAATGTACATAAAACATCACGTGTTTACAAGATTCGATAAAGTGAAATCTTAAGAATTCTGAAACTAATTTGTGCAATATAAGAAAAACAAAAGGCTGCAGGAACATAACCAAAAAGTATATATACTACACAGCAACTCAAGAACAAAAAGTGCAGGCACATAATTAAAGATAAAAGCTTTGAGTCGACATTCCCTTCATCTAAAAGATAAAACATAAACAGTGATCTAAACACCGCATAATTGAGCTTTGAAGTCTCACCAAAATATAGACTATAAACATCTTTGCAGACCAACATTTATTTTCAACTTAAAAATCATATCACATGGAAAAATGTTAAAAATGCCCAATATGGTATAACTAATCCTTCGCACGACAATTCCAAGAATCTTTACCGATATACTCATCCAAGAAATTAAATTAGCATTAGTAGAATCCATTTTTGGAAGCATATAGAAGATAAAATAATTCTATGACTACTATATCACTTCTAATTAATTAGTGCAAATGTAGAATGGTTGTTTGTGCACTTAAATAACAGGTTACTGCAATAATTTGCTGAGTAAAATCATGAAACCATAACAAGGTCATAGATGCACAATCCTGATATTGTCTACTTAGGGCCTAAAGTACATTGTTTTGCTATAAAAATCACCCAAAAGGCTTCATACTATTTGAAAAGAGAATGGGCCACACCCTCTCGTGTTAAATCTACCCAGCTTATTTCTTCCTCTAGCACACACTACAAGGTAGCTTTAATAGCAAGTGAAACCACTCACTCCCATAAAGTATAATATTGTCGCTTTTGGTGTAACCCAAACAATTTGCTTTTAGAATCACCCAAAAGGCTTCATATTATTTGAGAATGGATTTTACATATAAAGGCAATGTGGAATCAATACCCCACTCTCACCTCATCCATCTTCACCTCTTTACCTATATGTTTCAAGAGTCCTGGATCTTGGTTGTTACAGTTTGTTTAGGATAATAATTATCATGAATGAAAGAATTCTTTGCTTCCATCTCAATTTGTTAAGAAACCTTTATTAAATCAATATGCTTAGCAAACATCAAACAATCAATTGAGATGCTTGTGAAATTTGATTATTTACCGTTGTATCTTGCATTTCGCTTAATCCAATTGCCGAAGCCATCAAACTATCAAGATCTACTCCGAGGGAGAGAGAGAGAGAGAGAGAGAGAGAGAGAGAGAGAAAGGACCAGAAACAGTAAGAAAAGCATATATATATATATATAAATACAAATATCACATTATATAGATTTGGGATGCTATTTCTCATAAGATACCTTTATTTTCTGCTAAAATAAGTAATAAAAATAGGGATGCGAACAATAGAATGTGATTTTCTGAGTTAATGTATGCCAGAATTCCTTTCCTGCACCAGGTAAGAACATGACAATAAGTACAGTAGAAATAAATTCACAGAATTCCAATAAAAACAGTAAAAGAAAACAATTATCAGACTTTAACATATTTTAGCTGGAAATCAGACACATTCTAATTTGCTATTTGCCTCAGATATCACATCCAGTCCAATAAATGCTTAATTAACTGTTTACTTTTCCTCTTTGGTTAGGTAACAACTAAATTCTCTATTAGCACAAGAGAAAAAGAACATTGGAGAACACAAGGACAGGTGGTAGTGGGAACAATACATAGAACATGATGCTAGCATATTTTATGTTTAACTTTTCATGCACAGGCAATAGATTATTAAGATTTGAACCTCTAGTTGCTAGATAGACATGCCACTACCATATTTTAGACATATTTTATAGGATTAGATATATCAAAGTCATTGAGCTCTCAATCTTCAATATAAATTTTACATTCCAAAACATTCATTCTTAAGTATATTGAGTTCTAAACCACAAACAATACAGGAATCAGCAGAATTCCCAAAAAATCTCAAAGAGCACCTACTATGCTGACTTATTACTGCATTTCCAAAATTTGCTACCTATTAGTGATCAGCAATACTAAATGGCGTATGCAATCATCCTTAGAAACAAAAAATTTTTTTTTGCCTCATTGTAATTATTCAATCTTCTCCATATCAATGAACAGGAAACAACCCAACATCAATTAAAAAATACAAACTAACCTTTCTACACATGTATCCCCATCCATAGGGAAGCTATCTAAATCAGAATTAGATGATGCATTAGATTCCACGTGTGCAGATACGTGGTTTCCATTCACGTCTTCTTCTCCTTCAGACTTGAGAGAAAAAAATTTCACAATTTCCAACTCATGCAAAAGGTTGTAAAAAGAATATGCATTACTAGCATCAGTTGTTTCTCCTTCAATAGCATCTCTGATGTGTAAGGTCATATAAGGATACAAAAGGACAACAGCCACATAGTTAATGATGTTCTTTCCACCAACAACTTGAAGAAGCTGAGAAACTATATACAGAGAAGTAACTGCAGATACATGAAATCCCTGAAAAAGCAATTAAACAATAAGTTCTGATATATGACTAGAAAATTCTTCCATCAGGAAACGATTTTGGATTAATATTGTATGCTAAATTTTGATAATGTATTTTCTTTTTGTTTCTTTGTCGGTAATAGTTAGGTTCTGGAAGACCATAATTTGAGCCCCACACAAAACATCCCAAATTCACAAAAGAACCCATTGGAAACTCCATTAGAAAATTTAGTAGAACCATGTCCAAAAAGAAAAGAAATTGTTGAAATATTCATCCTTCTGTTCCCTACTTCAGATTACTACCATACTGTTTACAGATATGAAAGAAACATATCATTATCTAGAGTTTCATACTGGCTTGACATCCACGGCATTTATCCAAATCATAAATGAAACAATGTTTATTTTGAACTGCAATCTAATGGGCAAGTTTAGATGCTCTTATTAATTAATTGCATTCCCAACATGTCAAAAGTGGAAGACCAGATTGTCTGAAAAAGTTTCACTTTCACATACTCAATCCTAAAATATTCAGCCAGGCTACATTCAGATAGTAATGCCACCATCATCTCAAACCATATAACCAATCCTATCCATTATTAATTATGCAATTGAAAAGGTAGAGACAAGGAAAGGAGGTGAGATAGTAAGTATCTCACATTACTCTGCTGCATCTGCAGTAAGGGGAGCAATATAGGAAAGACAAGTAAGCTGAGAAGATCCTTGGAGACAACTTTACTCAAACGAGACTCGCCAACAGAAAGAATATCCTTGAAGTAGTACATATCATCTATGATTTTATCACTTTCTAGAAGTATATCTCTTTTCTTTTGATCAGTGTATTTTTCCCTACATCAAAGTGGTTTTCCCTTCAATAAATATTTATGATACAACAACCTAGTTAACATTTGTCATGAAATAAAGTTCTCTAACAAATTGAAAGCAGCATACTCTGTAGCTTTGACAAGGCCATCAAGAAGAATGCATTTCTCTCTTAAGCTATGAACCAAATCTGAAAAGTATTTTGAGGCTGGAGGAGTTGCCACAAACTGATAGACCATGTCATCACTAACTGCATAACCAAAAGGATACTGTTGCAAGATACCAAAAATATAGCTTATACCAAATTTTCGTGTATCTGTTCTCTTTGGGTAAGGACACAAAAATAAAACAATTCTATACCGTTAAAAATGTTAAGTGTTAATGCACGTACAGCCGTTTGAATCATCTTTTCCCCATGGTGAGCAAATTTAAGAGCCTCAGTATACAAAGGAAATGAAGTCACAACATCCTGTAATCAAAGATGGACGTGATTCAGAAAAATATACTGTTCCTGTGGTCAAATCAATACAATGAGAAGAACAGGAAACAGAGTCATACTTAAGGCACAAGCAAGATCCACTCTCACATGCACAAACTTACAACTGAGATTCAACCTATTCTGGTAACAAAAATTGGAAAGGAATAAAGGGAAAAGGAAAAAAATCAAGCATGTGCATGTGCTAAAATTTTTTGACACAGATCCTAAAAATGATATATCCATCTTACTTAGGGACAAAAATATCAAATGTTAAAATGTCTATTTAAAAAACACAGGCTCCCTGAAAAAGACCTCCAAGCAGAAAAAGAAAACAAAACAGCACCAGACTACAATTTCATCATCATTCATGGTATTCAGAATTTTCTTCCAAAACATAAAATACTCAGCAGCTAATTAGGTTATATAACCATTTTAAGGGTTCCTCCATTGTAGTTTCATAGATATTCAAGTTCACAATTTGTCACAAGGAAATCCTAGATCTGAAGCTGCACCACTGCACCTCAGGGTACTAATTGAAAACCAGTGGCCTTCCTTTTAGCATACATAAAAAAAGTGGATGGACCTACCAAATGTTTAAAAGAAAGAAAATTAATTCTCAAGACCCCCTATTGTTTTGAAACATCATGGAGAGCACACATGTTTCAGAAATTTACCATTCTTTCTCTAAAGCATGTGGTGGGTCCATGATGTTTTGGCAAACCTCAAGGGGATCCCTGAAATTTACCCAAGAAAGGATGTGAAAAAATTACTCATGTAATGCTTCCAACAAATCAAAATGACCAGCATACCATAAATATCATCTAATTCCTTATATGATTAAAATGAAGAGGAGATGAAGGACTATTAAGTAGAACTAACAATTCAAATGCCTTGACCTCCATAACTTGATTATCATATCAAGACAAACCACATTCCTAATTCCTTTGCAATAATATACTACCAAAAACTGAAATGGCGCATCAACATGTTTACTGCATATCCAATAAAGATGAGCTTTAACTTACCCTATAAACCTTAACAAGAAGACAAAGTGTGTCTCTGTTAATTTTGTTGCTCACTGCTCTGAATTACAAAACAAATAAACAAAAAGGATGAGTGAAAGAAAAAGAAGGCAGGAAACAAAAAACACAAAATGGTCAGAAAATTTACTTCCCTATGGAATATTCAAATCAAAATGGCCACAGTAAGAAAGAAACAAGTTGCAAAGTAACTAGTGTTCAGCAAGGATGAAAATTAAACTGTTATCTTATATAAATTTATGAAGAGAGATAGAGAACGTAGCAAAACCTTAAGAAGGACATGTAATATGGAGCCAGGTCTCCTGCATCAAATTCATACGTGTGTTCTATGATTTTGTTGATGTAGTCATTACTTAAGCAATAGTCTGCAAGATACAATAGGCTAATGCATCACCAATATTATACAAGAAATAGGAGTAACAGATGAAGCACCACAGAGAAGGAAAAGACTCAGAAGTAAAAAAATTTAGCCACTTCTGATGTATGTTGGAATTTGTGTTTCAAAACAATCATAGCTTCTGCAATCTCCCTCCAAAATCCAAGTGCATATGCACAAACATACCCAAATACAGAGAGATGAAAAGACACTACATATTAAAGAAATTTACCATAAACATCAATGGAACTTGCATCTTACATATTGCTTGTTCGCTGCCCATGTTTTGTATCATTATACTCAGATATTGAAGCAATGGTGCCTCAATTCTTGAATTTCTACTGATCTTTAAAACACGGACAAACTCGGCCAGAACTTGATATTCCATAAAACATCTGCACAGATCAAAACATAATTCTAATGACATCATTCCTTTAATAAGAAGCACAACCACAAAAGAAGCAGTATCAAAAGCCACACATACTCGAAAATCATTGGATCTTGTCTATCACCGTATGTAACAATCTCCACTAGGGATTGCAGTAGATCAATGACTACTTCCTGGAGGAAATTACAAATAATATAATAAAAAGAAGATGTTAATGTATTAACAATTTTCTTACATAACATGAAGCTAAACTAAGTTACCCGGTTATTCCTGTCCACAACTTTGATCTGTCGCAGTTCATTGATCACATATCTACATCCAGAAAAAAAAAAAACAATTATCACAAAGACAGAGACAATAATGACGATGATGCTAATAACAATTACACAACTACACACATAAAGCAAAAAAGCAAAACATTCATCCAGACAAAAACTTAACTACAACAATGATAGTAAAACCACTCCAAATTTATCCTCCATTTTCACTCTTAATTTCTCTCTTAAACCAAAGAATCACTCCTTTCTTCGAAAACAGACATTTTAGGTAACAAGCAAATTAAAGTTCCCCAAAATTAGAAAATAATCCATTAATAAAATTGAAGTTCAATTATCAAAACCTACCACAGCTCCGCAAAGATTCCAAATACACTAATAATCAAAACTAAATAGCCCATCACAATTCACCAATTCCTCAGAAATTAAGTGAATAGAGTCAAAATCTTGAAAAATTCAAAGAAATTCAGTGAAGTTACTTGAAGTGTTGAAGAGAGAAGCGATCAATCGATCGCCAGACGGAGCGCCACATAGTGAGAGTGGGAGATCAAAATGTAGAATTATGAAACAGCCAGATTTCGCAGTGCAGTAACGATCATTCATTCATTCATTGAAAATGTTTTCTGTTTTCTTTTGTTTTGTAGAATGGTGAGCATGCAATGCGTCTCTGGTTTGGCCGTTTGGTGGGCAGTTACAGTGTTGAATTGTTGAATTTTTGGCAACAAACCGTCAACGTTTTTATATTGGGTGTGTGTTTGTTTGATTTGATTTTTCCTTCCGACCTGACGGAGAACGCTTAACTAAATAAATGACTCAGAAATAAATAGATTTTTTAATTACGAAATATATAAATATTTAAAGGCATGATTGGTTGGGGTTATCATTATTGAGATAATGTCCTCTTACGTTTTATTAAGAATGTTTTATTGTTAAAAAGATAGAATTATTTTGAAGATTATTGAAGAATATTATATTAATATGTTTGATTAGATTAGTGGATATAAATAATTAAGATATTTGGTTGGAAAGAATAAAATATTATTAACAAAGGGTTTTATTAAATTGCCATTCCTTTTTAATATAATAATAATAATAATAATAATAATTATTATTATTATTATTATTATTATTATTTCTTTTAACCCCATATATTTGAGAATTTAGCTAAAACACTCCTAACAATAAAGTTTAAATTTTAACAAAATACCCCTAGCCACCCAAGACCATCGCTGATTGCTAGCCACCACTGTCGGCTATCGGTGTCAGTCACCAAAACGACACACGATCAGCGATATCAGGTTGGCCGTGCGCCGTTTTGGCCGTTTTCGACCAGATCGAAGGCTGAAAACAGCTAGATCACTCTGGATCTAGCCGAAAACAACCAGATCCAAGTTGATCTAGCTGTTTCCAACCAGATCCATGATGATCTAGCTGTTTCAGGCTAGATCAAAGGCCGAAAATAGCCAGATCACTATGGATCTGGTCAGAAACGACCACAAACGGCCGATCTATTCTAGCTTTTCCAGCCAGATCCACGACGATCTGGCTATTTTCGGCCTTTGATTTGGCTGGAAACAACCAGGTCGATGCACGGCCGGCCAGATCCCGTCGGTCGTGCTTCAATCTAGCAACTATTGCCTGTGGCTGATGGTGGTGGCTGGCGGCTGGCCATCTTTGGTGGCTAGGGGTATTTTGTTAACTTTTAAACTTTTTGTGGCTGGGGTGTTTTAGCTAAATTCTAAAATATAGGGGGTTTGGGTCATTGTTATTTGGTAGACATTTAAGGACAATTGTGTTCAGAATGGTATTTAATTAAGGGCAAAATAAGTATAAAATTAAGATTACCCCCCTTTGAGGAGGTAATTTGATTACCCCCTATTTAGCCCATAGTAATCACAATTGGTATTGAAAGATTACCGAAATCTTTTATTACTTGACAACTAAACAAGGGAATGTCTGGAATTAAAGATGATTATCAGAGTTATCTTTCCAGAGTCCTAACCAAACACACCCATATTACCATGTTTGGTTGGCAAGTAATATAAGATTCTAGTAATCTTCCAAAATCAATAGTAATTACCGTTGGTTATACAGACAATTATTTGAATATTAAAATTTTCTTAGGTATTTTAAGATTACTTGATAATCTTAATTTTGTTACAATTTTATCTCTAACCATTAAAATTTTTGGACAATAATACTTGTAGACGGTAAAATCTACGGTTGATTTAGAAAGGATAGATCTTGTGAGAGTAGAACCACTAACAATCTAATGGACCTGCACAAAAAGGAAAAGAGAACGTGAAGGCTAGATAAACACCAGTGTGGTGTTTACCGTAGACACTCTGACGCTCAAATTAGCGAGTTTGAAGGTATTTAGTGAGGGCTGAGAGCAGGAAGGGTTACCAGAATAATGTGATGGTTCTTGAGAGCAAGAACTTTGAGAGTTAGGAGCTATGGGTTATTTCTGAATGAATAATGAGGGGGTTTGCCTCTGTTTATATAGTGAACCAAAGAGGTTGAAATCCTAATAGGACTCTGAGTCCTATTTGGTAGAGGAGTTAGGAAGTTAGTCTTGAGACTTGCCTTTATTAGATTAAGATCTTCCAATTATAGTGAGATTCAGGATCTTAATCAAATTGGAAGGTGAATAAGATTCATGTTCCTATTTATGGACTACTGTGGGCTAATGGGCTGACACCTAGTTTAGCTTAATGTCTAGGATAGCTCAACTCATAGAGTGGGCAATTCACAAGGTGAATTTAAGCATAGGCCCAACCAGAATTGGGCTAAGGCCTTGAGCCGTAATATGTTTATCTTGTTTATTGGGCCTCGCCAAGCCTAACACAATTTTTGGCTTGTATAGTTTGTCCCCCACTCTCTAATTTAAGGGGTTCTTAGCTTTAGAGAGTAGTTTCAAGTAATCGAAGGTGTTTAAACGTATCTACATATTATAAAGAGGCGAGTCTTCTCATCCCATCAATAATCAAGACTTGGTCGTACTAAATGGGGTTGATAAAATGATTCTTAGCAGGAATCAACATCAAGTAGACACATGTCTGAGCCCATTCGGCTTGACTCATGGAGATGAGTGGCAAGTGCTGAGCGGGATGGCTTATGAGGATTTGTTTTTAACAACCTTTGTGGTGTGAAACACTTGTGGGGCCATTTGGCTCGGAACTGTAAGTTGAATGAAGGATGACAACTGAGTAGACTGTTATGATTCATCGAGATCCATTCTTGTGGTAGTGTAGGACATACATTGATTGGCGTGAACAACGCTACTACTAGTTTCTTGGGACTAAGCTTTATCCCTTCGCAGTAGTGATAGTGCCATGTTGAACAAAATGCTTTTGATCCTCCCACGACTAGGTGTTAATGATGCTGAGCCGAATGACGTGAAGAACATTCGAACATGTCTCTTAGGGTGCCCTGGGAGTTTGTATAACAGCCATGTCGAGTGAGAAAGGGACTTGTCCAATTTAGTCGCAAACTGATAAGTGCTTGAAAATGGAATTAAAGTTTTCATTATCTTTGAGCTGAGGTGATTTTTAATTATTGTATTTGTTATGTATATGCACAATTTTTGAGACGACTCTATGAATTGATCCAAGAATTTTTGTTAGTCTTTGTTTTTATTTTTGGGAATATAGGTTAGGTTTAGCATAGATGTTTGTGGGTATCATTGCTAGAAACCCTCATGAGACTATAACTCGTCTAACTAAGGCCGCCTAGGGTTTAAAGGCTTGTTACATACGCTAAATGCAATCATGTCAATCTACAGAAGTGATTTAGGAGAGTTTAGATATAGGTTTTAATTATTTGTTTTATTTTCAAGCTTAAAAACATGTTTGATCGCTTAGTTTGCTAGAGACTAGCAAGAAGTTGGTTGAGGGTTGTGATAAGAGCTTGAAAATACGTGTTTCGTTAGTGATTTATTTAGATTATTTGTGGGAAAATTAGTTTAAATTGCAAATTTTGAGTTAATTATTTCATATATACCTTTTATGGGATCACAAATGTATTTTGAGTATTTTCAAGTCATAAATGAAATTCAAATGAAGCATAATGTTGGTGACTGAATTGGTGATGGCTAGGAACAAACAGATTAAGAATTGGAGTTAAAACGAGAAAGTTATGGTGCTTTGAAGATGAGATTCGAATCTTGGAATTTCTTCAAAGATGAACATGCTTTAGTTTTTTTTATCATAACTTAAGCTGTAGAACTTGGAATTGGATGATTCTTGTGGCGTTGGAAATATTATTCATAGAGCTAAAATTCTTGTGTTTATGACCTTGTCAAATTCTAAATATTTCAGACTCGTTGAATGGGAAGAACGATTATCGCAGCGACCATTTCTATTGCCGCCGCGATGGAGAACGGGCCTGTATGGACTGTGTAAAGCCCAGTCCGAATTTCACTTATTCTAGTTGAATTAGACTTTTTCCTGTTTGACCTATAAACCCTAGCACTATGAATAAAGGTCTTTAGTTAGATATTGGAAAGAGTATTAGAGAAACTAGAGAAAGAAGAGGAGTCGCAATTGGGAAGATCAAAGCATCCATTCTTGGAGTTTTGGATCATCAATTAGAGGAGTTTTCTTTTACTATTTTCTTTATCTCATGTTTATTAATTTTACAATGGTTGTTTCTTTTGATTCAATTATGAACTAAATAAAGTTTTTAGGGCTAAGACGTAACCCAATTTATGAATATGTATTGATGGATTTTTGTTAATATTTGTTAAGCATATCTTTTCTAAGTTTTATTATGGTTTTTAATGCTTCAATTCTTTTAGGCTTGAGAGTTGATTGATTTAATGGACTAGGTTGAGATCGAGAGATTAAATCTAGTTAGTCTAATGTAATAAAACCATAGATTGAGCGAATGCTAGAGATATGTTACCACGATTTGTGAGGCTTTGATAAACTCCATAGAGCTTAATGATCTCTTAAAACTTAAATCCGATTTAGAGATATCTTGGGTTAGTAATAAAGGGTCAATCTGGTAATTATTCAAGAGAAAGTTATTGGAATTCTAGGGAGTTTGCCTGTAGAAAAAGCTTAACCTTGTTAGCATTAATTGTCAATACATAGAGTAAATTGGTGTGAAATCTATGCCCTAGGTTTAGTCATATTGTTTACAACCAACTTTTCTGTTTGATTTGTGATTTGTTTTCATTAGTTTTTAGTTTTAGAATTGTTAGTTTTAATTATTTCATCTTATAAAATTTTGGTTAATCAAAATAGGATAGTTTATTTTGGTACTTGGTAACTAGTAATTCTTTAGGGTTCGACATCCGTTTACTCAAACTATATTACTTGCATGATTCTATATGCTTGTGGAACCCCTATCACAAACCTACTCCGTAACAAGACAATTTTGAACGTGCCACATGTTAGGGTTCCTGAAGGGTGCGTAGTTACTTCATGCGCGATCTGAATTTTCATGGCGCCATGTGTACGACTAGGATTTAAGGTGTCCTTTGGGCGGGAAAATGAAAAGCTTTCTTTTCCCAAGAGCCCATGATCGATTGCCGCGTGTTCCTTTACATGTCAAGTCATTAAATATGGGTGGCTCGCCTTCCCTATCACTTCATCTTCTTTAGAGAGAAAACAAAGATGGGAGAAGCTTTTGGCGGTGGAAGCTTTCATTTTTTCGGTCATTTCCAGCAATCACGGTAACTTCTTTGTTTTTTCTATAGCTTTTGGTTGTTTCTACTTTTCCTTCAAATTTTAATTGAGTTTCGAGTAAAGTA